CATAGCTTACAATGTCAGTTGTTCAGCCATACTTTTAACGAGCTATGATAACCATTTTTTTCATTACTTACACTGATATAATTATAATTATAATCTTCTGAGTGTCTTTTTCTACTGCCTAGCCATTACTTTTTACTCAAACTTATTCAGTTCCAATCAATTCTTAAATGGTAATTCTGGCTTTTGTTGTAGATTACCTCCAGACTACTGCAGAAGTACCCCTTGAGATACAGCCCTTGTTGGAAATCTCTGAATTAAACTCTTAATAGAAAAAGCGATCATATATCTTGAACATAAATAGCCTTTAGATCTAGAGTTTCTTGTCTTGATTAGTTCTCTATTGATTGTCAGGATCTGACAGAAAAGATACAACTGTAGTGGCGAGTAAGACCCTTATACAACATTAGCAGTCTCAACATTAACAAGCAATCCTCCCACACTGAATAACCTTCAATAACAGGCTCTGCTGCCTATCTCGCTGCAATGAAAACTGTCATTCACTATAAGAAAATGAATCATTTGAAATCTGCCTCCGCTTTTCTTTATACTTCCAACCACATCTCTAAGCATCCATTCGGTCCAAAATACCTCCCATGCCTAGTTAAAAGTGAGAAGGACCCTGAGAAGGAGGGTTCCCCTGGAGTAACACAGTCGGTTCAACAAGGGGGAAAGCAAGTGGAAATAAAAATAGCCTCAGAGCCGCTGTACTCATTAACCAACCCGAGCTGGGTGAACAGGGGACCTAGCAACCAGTGACAAACTTTGCATGAAGCAGGAGAAGATGCAGACTGACTTCGTTTCTGATTCACTTTGTGTTGCTCTAACCAGCCTTCATCTGCTGAATCTGTTCCTTGAAGAATCCAGTGAAAGAGATTGAGAGCATAAGAAGTGGGCCCCGTTTTCATCATATTCAATACAATCTTCACATTATATCAGAGGACCGTGCTGATGTTTTCTTTTTTCATGTTTCCGTCAAATGAAATGTGCTTTACAGAAAAAAATCCATCGCAGTGAATTTAATTACATTCAACATTTTTGCTGAGATGTATGCAGTTAAAAGCATCAGCTATATCAAAGGAATAGTTTGACATCTTGAGGAAAAACCAGGCTTTCATACCAGGAGTTAAAAGATGCATGCCCGAGCGCTATATCTGATGATAAAGCCAAGAGACATTTAGCTCAGAATAGCAAGTGGCGCAGTTGAAAAGTGATCAATATACACAATAATATACACAAAAGACTGAGGTGACTCGTGTTGTTACTCTGATGTTGCAAGGGGGTATGCTTGTTTTCCATGAAAAGACTTGCAAGAAAACCTCCAAGGCTGAAAACCAAAGCCACCTTGGAAATGCCAGATCTGCAGTTCTTCATCATCCCAGAAGTATAGAGTTCCCACTGGTTCATGAATTCCATCATTTTATTAGTAAATTACTAATTAGCATGTATCTGCGTCTGCAATTCATGCACCTTGCTAAGGCTTTAGCCACACAGACCTAGAGGCAACCTCTCGTTGCCGGGTAAAATTGTTCACAAAGAGGGTGCTGCACCCAAAAAATCTTTTTGATTACTTTGGTCACCAGCAGACTGCTGTGGTCATATGTAGGTTGCATGGAAGACGCTAACTTTGGTGCAAACACTTGCAATCTACTCTCAGAGCAGTAGTGAAACTTGAAAAAGTGCAATGGAAACAGAAAGCGGAGAAAGTTTGCCTTCTAAGTAAAAGCTGTGCCGTACCACTGCAACCATCACAGCAGACTCTTTTTCTGTGTCACATACATCTCTGGGACCAGTTTTGTGCTAGTGATTGCAAGCAACCTTCAGCTACTTGCAACTAGCCAGGGAGTACACATTACTCTGTGGGCAGGACTCTAGGCCCGAGGCTTTGCCAAGTGTGCTAACTTAAGAATCAATAATTTGGTTTAAATATTGACACTGTTTCTCTAAAACTTTAAGATAGAAGCAATCAAATGCTAGAATGGAGGCGTCAAAACAGGATTGAACAAACTAATAGGTGACATCATCCATCTTTTATATACAGTCTGAGAGCCTTTCTCTAAACCACAATGTTTTCATATCTAATGAAAAGATGTGAGCTATGAACAGATCTGTAAGGAACCGAGTGTTACTGAAAATGTGAAGTCACTTTTTTAGATCTTTTCTTGTTGGTGCATTAAAGTGCTTGTTGGAAATTTGAGCCTCTGATCTATCAGAGTCTGATGGAGAACAGGAGCTTTTTTACACACTGACATTCATGTTTTTCGGGTAGCTTGAGAATCCAGAAAAACTTTGTTCTGCAGTCGACTCAAGGAAACCACACATCAGAACTGCTGGACACTCAGTCCTTAGTATTTACAGCAAAAGAAATAACAAAAAGAAAGAAGACTATAAAATGCTTATGGTGATAGATTACCAATTAAGCCAGTTTAAAGGCCATGTGATTTTCCATCTGACAGAAACTGTGAAAAATTGCTTCCTGGAGGGAAAAAAATCTGTCAGAAAACTTTTGAGGTTAAAAGATTAAGCATGCGGTTTATAGCCAAAGCCTGCAACACAATCCTTCAGGCTACAGAGAGGGCTGCAGCCTGCCCTGCTCATGTCCGGCTTTGCGTCTAGGAACCCGAGGGTGAATGAGTCGAACAGGAAATTATATTAGGCTGTTGGAGACCTATAACAGATTGCAGGTTTTCAAAGGTGACTCAGGTAATTTTTTTGATTATAATTCATCCAATTGAATAATTCTTTTACAAGACATCAACATGGCATTTAGTATGTCGTGTTTTAGCTGTGCACAGATGGTTTGAATCAGCATTTAAAAGATAATCTTTACAGACTGTCTGCTTAAAGGAGACCTATCTGGGGGGCCTTTTGTATCCACTCCACGTGACAAACCTTCTGCCTCTGCTGCTTCTCTACACAAACACATGGGTCAGTCCTCCTGATGTGCTGGAATAAATGAACCTGACTCATGCTATGAAGGACTACTTCTCGCCTCCACAGCTTCAAACAACAAGCTCAACGTGCCTCAGTCACCATGGTGACCAGGCTTCCTTGTCAGGAGCCAGGACCAGAGGAGAGCAGCAGGAAGCTCTGCTGGAGATGCCAAGTGATCTGCAGCAGCCTCGTTTTAAAATCAGACTCAATTGATTTAATGTTTTCTGCTCTTTTTACAGCTTTTATTGTGAACCTCGTGTGCTTAAATAAGCTGTATTATTCAGGCTATATCACTAGTTGCTCAACTGGACACCATGTTTTATGCAGCTATCAGCATTTATAAGCACAGACATCAAAAACTTCAGCATCACCAAGAGCGTAGCGGGACAGAATTGTGTCTCATTCAGCCACAGCTGCAGGATGAATGTCCATGCCAGAGTTAACACAGTTCCTGGAGATGACCTCAAGAAAACAAGCTTCATCTCAAATGATCCTTTCTCTCCTCTTTTAGCTGTGCCTCGTATCTACACGAGTGAGCTACGCTGCCCTCCAGGGGACAATAGGAAATAAGAGAACGCACGAAACTTCGTTTTCTTGCATCACTGACTCTGTGGGAAACTCCTATGATTGAAGAGGTACCCCTGAGTAACCGAGAAGCACATTCACATGTGAGATCAGCGCGGAAAGCATGAGAAAAATCTGACATCTGCGTTGGAGAAATGTGTTTCTCCAACATTAAGATTCAGCGTACGACACATGCAGACACCGAGCTGACAGGCGGGATCAAATCAGCACTGACATGCATTAAAATTCATCTGTGTTGGAGGTGTGAATCTGTCCAGTGTCCCTTAAGATCCATCCGTCTTTGAAAATTCATCCACTGAGAGGACACAGTTCATTTTTCATGTGCATCGTGCCGCACACCACTGCAAACTAAAATCATGCCTCCTATAGGCAAGAAAACACTGCAGCAGCGACGGCACTTGTAATAGCCGAGTTTCTGAGAATCACTGTAGTTTAGCTAGTGGTGAGGGTTTAGTGTCCCTATTCTCTTCTATTGCAGATCCTTAGGAGAGTATGACTATGTGGTGTTTATTGTGTCATTTTTTATTTACAATTTCAGGAGATTACAGGAGGCAAGAATGTCACATCAAGGATGTGAGTTGAATGTAACTGATAGCCACAGTGCCTCCTGTGGAAAAGTAATTTCCATGAATATCACATCTAAAACACACACACACACACATATATATATATATATACATACATATACATACATAT